GTACAGCCCCGGGACAGCCCCGGGGACAGGCCCGGGACAACACCGGGATAGCCCCGGGACAAACCCGGTACAAACCCGGTACAGCCCGGGGACAGCCCCTGGACAGCCCCGTTACAGCCCCGCGACAGCCTCGGGTCAGCCCCGGGATAGGACGGGTACCGCCTCGGGACAGCCCCGGGACAGACCTGGTACAGCCCCGGGACAGCCCCGGTACAGCCCCGGGACAGCCTAGGGGAAACCCAGGTCATCCATGGTACAACCCCAGTACAGCCCCCGGGATAGCCCCAGTACAACCCGAGTACAGTCCCGGGACAGCCCCGGTACAACCCTAGGACCGTCCTGGGACAGCCCCGGTATAGCGCTGGTACAGCCCCGGGACAAGCCCGGGACAGCCCCGGTCTAGCCCCGGTACAGCCCCGGGTCAGCCTTGGGACAACCCCGGGACAGACCCGGCACAGCCCGGGGACAGCCCCGGGACAGCCCCGGTACAGCCCCGGGCTAGCCCCTGGTCAGCCCCGATACTGCCTCGGGACAGCCCCAAGACAGCCCCAGGGCAGCCCCTGGACAGCCACAGGACATCCTCAAGACAGGCAGCCCCGGGACAGCCCCGGGACACCACCGGGACAGCCCGAGGACAAACCCGGGACAGCCCTGGGGCAACCCCGGGAAAAACCCGGTACAGCCTGGGGACAGCCCCAGTACGGCCCCAGTACAGCCCCGGGACAGCCTCTGGTCAGCCCCGGGACAGCTCCGGGACAGACCTGGTACAACCCGGGGACACCCCCGGTACAGCCCCGGGATAGCCCAGGGGCAGCCCTGGGTCAGCCCTAGTACAACCCGAGTACTGCTCCGGGAAAGCCTCGGTACAACCACGGTACAGTGCCGGGACAGCCCCGAGACAGGTTCGGGACAGCCCCGGTACAGCCCCGGGATAGGCTTGGTACAGCCCCGGGTCAGCCTTGGGACAGCCCTTCGACAGACCCGGTACACCCGGGGACAGCCTCAGGACAGGCCCGGGACAGCCCCGGGCTA